TCTCTTGCACTCTTAATCTGATACTGAGGTCTTCCTCTTTGTAGACCCGAACTAACGTAAGTAGGATCTCCAGGAGCAAATCTTGAGGTGAGAATTCATGAGCAAATGATTAAGGTAATGCTCTCAAGAGAAAAACACAGGATAGGCATGGGGGATACACCAAGCAAAGGTGTTACTTCAAGCAAAACCCCTTCCTAACCCTGCAAAGAAGCTGGGTATTCCAGGCAAGAAGTCATCCACTATTCTATTTCTTATCTTGATTTATGCTCATTTCTATGGTCTAACCAAGCTCAAATGGGATTTTTGTAACGTACACTAGATAACTATATATAAATACCTGCAATATAATAATACTACATATATAATTCAATATTTATACCCGTGCCTGGCAGACAGTAAGCACTCAAATGTGTTGAATATTATAATATCAACCATATAAATTGCCACCATATTTTTAAAAATACAGCATCCCCACCACTGTTTTTGTGAAATTCCTCTTCCACAAAATTTTATGTCCTAAAATATATACAAAGTGTCACCCTTTTCCACATTTTTTGTTCTTATTTCTACTCCCTTTCCAACATAGGACTCTTCTTTTGCTCAACTTTACCTCTCAAACATCAGCTCCCTACAGATACTTCAGCCCACTTAAAGTACAAGAAAGGGAAAGGGAGAGAAGGGCCCAGAGCCTGAACCAGCCTCTTCGTCCTTTTCTCCTACATCTTACCAGTCAATGGTAAACTGAATCACAGTAAGGAAAAGGGAAATGAAGATGTGAATGCCTAGAATTGATCTAAACCAGCTATACCAGAATCTCTGCAGGAAGATATTTCCTAACATGGAAGCAGTCTAGTGCACGTTACCTTGCTAGCTAGCATGACAGGACAAACAGGTGCTCAATAAGCAGAAGTGAAAAAGGTTACTTGTCATTGATTGTCTGCTTTTTCATGTCTGCTTTTTCATGAACTATTACATTTTTTAGAAATTCTTGCTATTCAGAGCAGCTCCCTTACTGCGATCTATTGAAAGTCAGCCCTCGACACAAGGGTTTGTAAAGAAAGCGAAAATAAAAAAAGAGGAAAACATGCTATTAATAATAATATGGACTTCACCCTTATCCAACCATAATGAAATAATCTGCAATAAACCACAAACTATTCACTGACCAGGTCCATGCTTTGGTACAGATTCAAGAGTTGAGACTTGGCGGAGTGGGTGTTCAGCCTAGAAGTAAGGTGGCCATGTCCCACCTTAAAGTACCTGGGTTTGAGTCCTGCCTTGTGACTCCAACTTCCTGCATGCAAACCCTAGGAGGTAGTGGTGACGGCTCAAGTAATTGGGTCCCTGTCACCCAACTGGGACACCTGGATTGAGTTTTCCACTCCTAGCCCAGCCTGGTCTAGCCCAGCCTCACCCAGGACCATTGAGGACATTTGGGGAACAAACCCACAGATGGGAACTCAGACTCTCTCAGTCTCTCTCCATTAAAATAAATTTAAAAAAAAAAAAAAAAAAAAAAAAAAAAAAAAAAAAAAAAGGCGGCTTAAAAAAAAAAAAAATCAAGCTTTGGGAGTAGAAAAAGGCTCTAACCAAACTCAGGTTTCTCTAGCCATGTGACCAGGTCCAATGAAGCTATTCATCCTTAATCTGTAACTGTGAATGGTACTGTTGTATAGAGTAGAAACAACACAAAGAAAGTGCCTGGCTCTCAAGAGGTACACAACATTACTTTGTCACCACTTAAGACAGCCAACAGTAAAAAGTACAAACTTTGTACTAAAAACCCCTGGGTAGTCTCATTTTTAACAATTACATCTAACAAGAATCATTTCTCTAAGACTGCTTTTTTTTAATTTATTTTTATTCTTTTTTCTTTTTGCTTTTTTATTTGTTTGAAAGGCAGAGTTGACAGAAAAGAGACAGAGCTCTTCCACCCATTGGTTCACTCACCCAGTGGTCACAAGAGCCAGGCTGTAGCCAAGAGGCAGTAACTGTATTGGGGTCTCCAATGTGGGTAGCAAGGGCCCAAGCACTTGGGCCATCACCTGCTGCCTTTCCAGGCACATTAGCAGGAAATTGGAACAGAAGCGGAGTAGCCAGGACTCAATCAGTGCTCAGATGTGGAATGCCAGCAGTGGAAGTGGTAGCTCAACCTGCTATGGCACAACTCTGGCCCCTGAGGGTTTTTTTATGTGTAAAATGGGCATAATAGCTATACTGTTGCTTCGAAATATCATTTAAAATATCAACTGAGGTACTACATGTTAAATATACTATGAATTATAAAGCATTAATATCTAAATGCTAATGTATTTTACTACAGTGACTTTTGATGGACTTTTTCAGTTTTTTTTATTTATTTATTTTGTGATAGGCAGAGTGGACAGTGAGAGAGACAGAGAGAAAGGTCTTCCTTTGCCATTGGTTCACCCCCCCCCAATGGCCGCCATCAGCACACCGCGCTGATCCGAAGCCAGGAGCCAGGTGCTTCTCCTGGTCTCCTGTGGGGTGCAGGGTCCAAGCACTTGGGCCATCCTCCACTGCACTCCCAGATCACAGCAGAGAGCTGGCCTGGAAGAGGGGCAACCGGGACTGAATCCGGCACTCCGACCGGGACTAGAACCCAGTGTGCTGGCGGGGCAGGAGGAGGATTAGCCTAGTGAGCCGCGGCGCCAGCCTTGATGGACATATTTTCAAATGCATCACCTGCCTCCTTGCCTTACTGAATATGACCTGGGGTGGAGGGGAGTACTCAAGATCATATGATGTGTCTGCCCCTTACATAAACTATCTAGCTTCAAGTTGCTCCCTTTTTATAATAGCTTCTAAAATATTTTGTGACTATACATACATAAAATTTAACTATTTTTAAGTGTTCAAGTCAATGGCATCAAGTACATTCACACTGTTGTGCGCCATCACCACAACCCATCTCCAGAACCTCCTGATCATCCCTAACTCAAACTAGAACTCTACAACCCCGACATCTGCTTTTTCCCTTCCCTTTATCATGTGTTGCTTCACTCATTTTGGCAGCACAACAGCTCATCTCTCTCCCTCACCTACAACGTACCGCCAGCTACAATTTGGTAGGGACTATAAATACCATCTTTTAATCCATAACATTCTTTGGCCTCAGATAGCAATATAATTTGGTTCTGATCTGACTTTTCAGCATTATCTCCCTTGTTTCTCTTTTTATTTATGTAAAAGGCAGAGTGAGAACACACACAAGCATATGGAGCAAGACCAAGCTCCTATCCGCTCGCTCATTTCCTAAACAACTACAGGGGCAGGGGCAGGGCCAGAAGCCTGCACTCAATCTAGGTCTCCCACACCAGCGGCAGAGACTCAAGCACCTGAGCCATCACCTGCTGTTCCCAGAGTGCACATTAAAAAGCAGCAGGAGGCTGGCGACTCAATAAGCTAATCCTCTGCCTGCGCACTGGCACCCCAGGTTCTAGCCCCTGTGGGGGCGCCAGATTCTATCCTGGTTGCTCCTCTTCCAGGCCAGCTCTCTGCTGTGGCTTGGGAGTGCAGTGGAGGATGGCCCAAGTACTTGAGCCCTGCACCCGCATGGGAGACCAGGAGAAGCACCCGGCTCCTGGCTTAGGATCAGCGCGGTGCACCGGCCGCAGTGCACTGGCTGCAGCGGCCATTGGGGGGTGAACCAACGGAAAAGGAAGACCTGTCTCTATCCACTCTGCCTGTCCAAAAAAAATAAATAAATAAAATTATAGCTATGTTCCTTTTATGTCAACCAAACTAAGAATTCCTCAAATTAGGAACTACACTTTATTATTTTGTTCATCCAATCATTTGTTACCCATTCAACCAATCCAAGTGCTGAACAGGTATTTGTAAAATAAACAGTTCTAAGTCACTGGGTTTTGCTAAGTCAATAAACTCCAGCTCTTCTGTATTTCTTTTACAAATAATTCACCTCTGAGGTTTTAGTTGTGTTCCAGAGCGTTAATCATCTGTAATAAGAACAATAATTCTATTACACCAGGTACCATCGGACTAACAAAGCACATTTCTGAATTAAATCATTCTTGTTTTGCCAATTTGTAAACTCAACGTATATAATCAAATCTGCATGACTGTGGATTCTGGGGAGGCTGTAATGCTCCAGGTATTCATTGTTCACAATTTCCACTTAGGAGCAGGACCCTGCATAACTATCTTTGCCTTAGCTTCCTGTGTTGTTATTGGATGTCAGGGAAGTGATGGAAGTTCGGCGCCGCCTGGATTTCTTAATTAGGTACAGGTGTGAAGGGTAGGACCTGGTAGGAAGTCCCCAAGTTTGCATCACGGCTTCCTTCCCCGCCGCATAAACTCAGAATTACCGCCACTTGGCTCCTCACAGGTCAAGTTTCCCCTGGAAAAGTTTCTCTCTTTCAGCAGAGACCTCCCTGTACCAGTAAACAGAATTGATTCCCAGGGTAAAGGCATTCCTCACCTCCAGGCATTATTTCATTCAAGCTATTAATCAACAGTCCTGGAGACAAGTACCAGTTTATTTTGAAGAAGGAACAGCGCTCTGTGAGCTGCAGGGCCCATGAGCTACACGGCCGATACACTCCATCTGAGTCCGCCACCACCCCAACCTAAAGATCCGGAGACGACGCGAACAAGCGGTACAGGACCACCGCCAACACCTCCCCGGCTTGGAGCTTTCCCCAGATAAGGCATGTATGTGCCTTAGACTCCCGGGCAGCGGCCACCTTCCTGCGCCGCCCACCGGCGCCGCAATCAGCCGCCATTCAACCGCCTCCCAAAACCTAGAAAACCCACCCAAACTCAAATGCGCCTCGGGCCTTTTCTGCACTGGGGAGAGCAAAGTGAGGCTGCCCAAGTCCCCTCACCCCAAGGACGCCCCAAGAACCCGCACGAAACACTGCGCGGTAACTCAGTCTCCCCAGAAGTTCCCAACCGCGAGCTCGCAAGCCCCAACGCCCACAGGCCACTCTAGCCGCGCGCGGAGCCAATCTCGTTGCTCCCGGCTTGACGTCATCGGCAGGCGCCGCAGCGCAGTGGCGGGCACGCGCAGCCGGGAAGATGTCTCCGACGCCGCCGCTCTTCAGTTTGCCCGAAGCGCGGACGCGGTTTACGGTGAGCCACTGTCGGGCATACGCGGACGTGACTCTGGGCTATTCTTTTCCCCTTCCTCTCTCCGAAATTACTGGAGTTTTGCCCCTTTGATAAAGCGAGACAGAGGTGTGTCCTCCGCGGCGTTCGCTCCCGGCCCCGTCGGGGGCTGGGAAGGAGGAAAAGGTGCACTACCTGTCCTTACGGTGCGTCCGCCGCTGTCCGCCTACGCCCTCCCGCCCGTGGGCCCCCGACCCGGCGTTCTGGGCGCCCTCGGCGGCGCGTGGAGAGCTTACCTGGCGACGACCTCCGGTCGGGTGCAGCCCCTCTGCTCGCTTAGCCGGGCAGGTGTCTCCAGAAGTGGGAGGGGAACCGCTGAGGGGGATGGCGGGAGAGCTTTCAGCCGGGAGACCCGGCTCCCGCCCCGCCTCCTAAAGGGCCAGGTGGTGATTCCAGCTGCCTGTTCATCAGGCTTTTAACCTTCGGGATCTCCCAGAAGATAGGTAAGGCGCTCCTAAGCGGGAAGAGGCAAACAGGTCACCCTGGAGAGGGTTACCAGACGCTATCTTATTCTTGACCAAATGCGGGAGGTAGTTTGAACTTTGGGGAAACACGTAACTATTGGAGTAACACTGTGAAACTGACTAAATTTTATGGCCCGGGTGCTTGAGATGGAAGCTGAGACGCTCCCCTCATCACCAAATACCAAAAAAAAGAAAAAGTTAAGTGACTGGACTGATTTTTCTGATTTTAGAGCCCTTGTTTGTGTTCCCCATCATAGTTTGTATGAAGACGTTGTTGTAAATGGACTGTACTCGTCTCTAGCACTCACACCCATGTTTCCAAGACATGACTCAACTAATCAGATATTTAACTGCTCAATTAGGTATGAAGAATGAAAATCCTGTGGGGGGGGGGGGATTGATTCTTTGTAAACTCAATAGTTTTCTCGTTTGCCAGGTTTTTGTCCATACAATGTTCATTTTCTTTGTTGTTTTTAAAGCTGATTTATTTGAGAGTAATCTCTCATCTACTGGTTCACTCAAAATGCCTGTAACAGCGTGGAGCCACAGATTCAATCAGGTGATCTCCCACGTTAGTGGCAGGGACTCAACTAATTGAGCCATCACTTGCTGCCTCCCGTAGTGCATCAGCAGGAAACTGGAAGGGAAAGCAGAGCCAGACTGGAATTCTGGGCACTCTGATGTCGGTACCCCAGTGTTTTAACCGCTAGGCCAAGTGCCTGCCTCCATCTGTTTTTTAACAGATTACAACTTGTTTACATTTTCAGAATCTGTTTCTTTGTATGCATTTTGCTACAATCCCTGGTGCTTTGAAATTCTGCAAAAATTTAGGATTATTCAAGATCTTATTAGTCCTTAAAGGGACCATTTAATTAGAGATGATCTCATCTAGTGCTTCTCAAACATCCCTGTCTTGGGATCACCTGGAAATCTTCTTAAATGACAATGATTCAGTAAACCTGGACTGAGGCCTGAGGTTCTGTACGTAGAACAAATTCCCAGGTGATGCCAGAGCTGCTGTTAGTAAGGATCTATAACAACCACCATGTTTAACACATTTGGATAATGAAACAGACAATGGGATAAGCCCCAAACTACTAAGCCTACTAGTCACAAAAACCAGGAGTGGAACTTTCCAGTCTAGATCCAAATCCTGTGAGGTAATAAGATGACTTTCCATGTATATATGAATCTGATCAGCAGGTATTGATTCAGTGCTTACTATGTGTAAGACTGCTGAGCATGGTACCCAGAGGAGGTAGAACTTGAGATGGGTTTGGAAAAATGGGTTGAATTTGGATGAGCCAGTGGGAAAAGTGGCATGTGTGAATACATTAGGTAGAGCTTGACAGAAAGTGAAGAAATGACTAGACTTCAGTGGAAGGTGAAGGAAGTAGTGGGAAGTAAGTTCGGATGAACAGATATTAACAGGAACCTTGAGAGTGCTATGAAATTCAAAAGCTGAAACATGTAAGTAAGGAGCCACTGTTAATTTTTTTTTAAAGCAGAAGGTGATATTTTAAAAAAGGTAGAAGGGAGAGTCTAGGATGAAGAAATCTCGCTAGGAAGCTTTTGCTAAATTTAGAGGATATGTATCATTCGGTGGCATTTGGAATAAGAATTACTGAAAGAAAAATTGGTATTTTTTTTCCGGGTATAAGTATTTTTTAGACTTATTTTTGATTAATGGTATGTTTTTCTCTTTTATACAAGCGATTTTGTTGAGGCGCTTCAGGTGTAGGGGCTTGAAGTTTGAGGCTAGTGAGATCCAACCCCTTGGGACAGGACAGAATCTGGTTTCACAGTGGCCCAAAACACTGTTTTTCAGTAAATAATCAAAAATCAAAATTCCAATTATTTGCCATTTTTATTTGTCTAGAAATCTACCAGAGAGGCCTTGAACAACAAAAATATCAAGCCATTGTTGAGTACTTTTGGCCAGTTACCTGGAAGGTAAGCATTATTACCTCGAAAAATTACTTACCTATCACTTTGTACTTAATCTGAACTATTTTTGAAACGAGGGTATCTTTTGTATCCGATAGTGAAAATGAAAAAAAATGTACCCTTGACCAGGCTTTCAGAGGGGTTCTTGAAGAAGAAATTGTAAGTATATTGTTCTTTATTCACTTAAAATTTTGCTAGCAAATTAATAAGCCATGTTATTTAAAAATGTTTTTTCTTAGATTGAATATTTGATTCTTTTTGTAGAGCTTGCTGCCTTGTGATAGTGATACAGGAATTTATATCCTAATTAAGAATTTTGGTAGCACAGGTGCAGTTCAAAGTTTTGGTTTAATAAAACAAGAAAAGGCAGTCTCTTTCACTTTGCTACATAAACAGTGACGCTTCAGATCATGGCGTGTAAGGTCTCATCAAGGACATTCAGCCTTAGAGGCTGGGATTCCAAGCCATCATTGTCCTGTGGCATCCTTCTCATCAGAAAGCATGCATAAATAACTGAGGCCTCTCCCACCTCAATAAAGAAATTAACCGTGAAAAATGTGATTTTTATTTACAATTAGTGGGACTTTTGAAAGAAAGGAAAAATTTCCAACAGTTTATTCTTGTTCAAGTAAAGGTCAGTGGCCAGAAAGCTAGATTCTCTTCTAATGGACACAATGCAGTGTTCTTTTCTCTCAGAAAAGTCCGGATCAGACAGGTTCCTTCCTTTTCTTCAGACATACATTCTATTTGTGAGACTTTGGACAAATTACTTTGCGTTTGTTTAATTTGTAAGAAGGGAACTACTGGCCGGCGCCGCGGCTCACTAGGCTAATCCTCCGCCTAGCGGCGCCGGCACACCGGGTTCTAGTCCCGGTCGGGGCGCCGGATTCTGTCCCGGTTGCCCCTCTTCCAGGCCAGCTCTCTGCTGTGGCCAAGGAGTGCAGTGGAGGATGGCCCAGGTGCTTGGGCCCTGCACCCCATGGGAGACCAGGAAAAGCACCTGGCTCCTGGCTCCTGCCATTGGATCAGCGCGGTGTGCCGGCCGCAGCGCGCTGGCCGCGGCGGCCATTGGAGGGTGAACCAACGGCAAAGGAAGACCTTTCTCTCTGTCTGTCTCTCTCTCTCACTGTCCACTCTGCCTGTCAAAAAAAAAAAAAAAAAAAAAAAAAAAAAAAAAGAAGGGAACTACTATTTTACTGTTGTATAAAACAACACAATTGAACACTCAATAAATGCTGGTTTTTATAATTTTTTATAACCTAAGCACACTCCTTCACCCCCCATTAAAACCCTTTCTCACAGGTGTTGATTCCCTAGTACATTAATTCCACCAGCCTTGCCTTTATTTGATGCCATTAATTGAGTTAGGGTCTCAGCACTTCTGTGCTTCATTATCTTGCTAATGTAACCATTCTTCTTTTTTTTTTTTTTTTGGTTTTTTTTTTTTTTTTTTTTTTTTTTTTTGACAGGCAGAGTGGACAGTGAGAGAGAGAGTAACCATTCTTCTGAGATTATTGGGTTTTGAATTAGTCACCTGATTTTTACTTACTTGTCATACTTCTGCAGTTACTGATATGTTAATGTTCATTTTTTATATTTTATCGCAGAAAATAATGTTTACCTTCTGTAAGAAATATTTTTAACCTATATTTGTAAAAAGTTAATGTCAGGATGTTTTTGTCATTAACATGAACTGTTGCCCCTAAATCAAATTGTTTCTCCTCTGTAGATAAATCATTCGTCATGTGAAAACGTTTTAGCTATTATTTCTCTTGCTATTGGGGGAGTAACTGAAGGTAAGAATGTTTTTTTTTTTTTTTTTTTTAAGTAATCTTGGATATGACATGCTTTATTTAAAACTTTTTCTCTACCCATCTGATTTCATTCACTCTTCAGGCCATGAAGTTCTCCCAATCAAATTAGGTCATACTTATTTCTCATCACTATTACACAGTGCACATTTGGTGCTTGCATTTTTTCACTAGTTGTTTGATTCATTCAGTAAGCATTGAGCATCTACTGTGTGCCTAATACTGAGCTAAGAGTTGGAGAGTCAGTGATAAATAAAACGATCAACTCTCACCTGTAAGGACCTAGTGTCTAATGGAGGAAGCAAATGTATGAATATCTTAACTGTGTTGTAAATACTGTAGTTGAAGTGTGAATAAAATGTGTTTGAAGGCAATAGAGTAAAAGTGACTTTCTAAATCTCAGAATCTAGAGTAATCAGAAAAGCTCTAACAGAAGAGCTGGGATGTGAGGGATGAAAGGTTTATCAGACAGAGAAGGGAATGGCTATGCAAAGGCCAAGTTCAGCATAGCAAGAGGACTGTGGGGAGCAGGAGTGCTGTGGAAGTCAAGAGGAGAATGTTAGGGACCAGATTCTTCTGGATCTGAGACAATGAACTTAACAAGGCTCACACAGACAGTAAGTATGACAGCAAGGATGTATTATAAGAAAAAAGTGTGCTTAAGGGAGTAGAGATGGGCCAAAAGCCAGACCTCAAATTGAGGCTGAGACTTGAGACCCCAAATGTGAAAAATGTTGCATTTTTATAAGGGTGGTTATTGGGTAAGGGACCCTTTAGTGTGGCTTTGGAAACACCTGCTTTGTGAGTTGTTTGGTTATTACTGTATCTGTGCATACAGCTTGTAAGAGAAGGTTTTTTCAAACAAGCAGTTGGGCTTCTAAAATTTTTGGAGTTTCTTTGGTTGTTATTTATACAAACAGCCTCTAAGCTATGGCTTTTGGCGTTTCTTTTTCTCAGCTTCCCCAATTAACCTTTAGGTGTCTCCTGCCTCAAGGGTGAGAGGAAAAAAGAGAATGGTGAGGAAAGAAGTAGGAGGGTGGAGTAAGGTCTGTTGTAAAAAGCTTGTGTGCTATACTAAGGGGCAGCTATGGGAAAATTGATTGGGAGAGGCTACTGGCAGGAAAACTAGACGGAGGTCTGTTAAAATGGGGCAGTGGTGTTGTGGGGCAGTTTTAAGAGACAGTAACTAAGGCACATAGTAAGTACACAGTGCCTAATGTTGTAGAAGCTCATTGGATATTTTCAGAGAGAAATGAGAAAAACGTTCAGCAACATTTCTCTTTAACCAGTTTGGGTAAGATACTTGATTAATTCAGATAATATATATGAAAAGTGCCTTTTTTTTGTTTGTTTATTTGGCAGGTAGAGTTATAGACAGTGAGAGGCAGACAGACAGAAAAGTCTTCTTTTCGTTGGTTCACTCCCCAAATGGCTGCTACGGCCAGCGCTGCGCCAATCCAAAGCCTCAAGCCAGGTGCTTCTTCCTGGTCTCCTATGTGGGTGCAGGGGCCCAAGCACTTGGGCCATCCTCCACTGCCCTCCTGGGCCACAGCAGAGAGCCGGCCTGGAAGAGGAACAACCGGGATTAGAACCCGGCGCCCATATGGGATGATGGCGCCAACCCCGAAAAGTGCCTTTTAATCTATAGTGTTACTCACCATTTTATTTTATACTTAATTCCTACTAAAATTTGATCACATATGGTAAAACTGGTCTCCCACTGAAGCTGCAAGCTGTTTTGTGAACTTAAGTTCATAAATTCTGACTGCATTTTTTAAAGATTTATTTATTTGGAAGTCAAGAGTTACAGAGAGGAGAGACAGATCTTCCATTTGCTAGTTCATGCCCCAAATGGCCGCAACAGCCAGGACTGGGCCAGGCTGAAGCCAGGAGCCAGGGGCTTCAATCTAGTCTCCACCATTTTCTGTTGCTTTCCCAGGTGCATTAACAGGGAGCTGAATTAGAAGTGGAGCAGCCAAGGCCAGCACCGCGGCTCACTAGGCTAATACTCCGCCTGCGGCGCCAACACACCGGATTCTAGTCCCGGTCGGGGCGCTGGATTCTGTCCCGGTTGCCCCTCTTCCAGGCCAGCTCTCTGCTGTAGCCAGGGAGTGCAGTGGAGGATGACCCAGGTCCTTGGGCCCTGCACCCCACGGGAGACCAGGAGAAATACCTGGCTCCTGGCCTCAGATCAGCACGGTGCGCCGGCCGCGGAGGGTGAACCAGGGGAAAAGGAAGACCTTTCTCTATGTCTCTATCTCACAGTCCACTCTGCCTGTCAAAAAAAAAAAAAAGAAAGAAAGAAAGAAAAAAAGAAAAAAGAAGTGGAGCAGCCAGGACTCAAACTCGTGCCCCTATGGGATGCCAGTGCTGGAGATGGATGCTTACCCTGCTGCACTACAGGGCTGGCCCCTTTAGATTTTTATACAAGCTGCATAATCATTCAATAAGCATAAAATGAATTCTACAATGCAGCATTCCTTGCCCAGTTCCTTTCAGTTTACAGTGTGTTTAGTTCATTGAGTACCTTGCTATATTACTGTTATAAAGGTGATGATGTTTTTGACACTTGAAGTTGTACAAAATCTACATTTAGAACTTTACTTTAATTGAGAGATGAGAATTTGTGAACTTAAACTATAAAGACATGAACTTTGAGTTGGAAAGGTTCCTTCTTGGGAGAGACATGGGACATAATTTCAAATTGTTCATTTTTATTTTTAGGTTGAACTCAGCAGATGTTTATTATGCTTCTGTTTGGTGTCAGGCACTTCCTATAGTTAAAATATACAATAAGATCTACCCTTGAAAAGTTCACAGTCTGCATTGAAGAGATAATTAGAATATGCTAAATGCTACAGTAGGTTTATGTTAGCTGTGATTCCAAAGCATAGATAGGTGCTGTGCTCAAAGATAGCAGGAAGTTTTTTCAGATGGGCTGACATTTACTGTATGATTTGAAATTTACCCTGTGATAAAGAGGAGGAAGACACTTGAGGCAGAATAGTGTTGTAGACAAAACAAAGTATGAGTGTAGCACAGTATTCAGGAACTGAGAGGGACATCCGGCTAAGGTTAAGGTAAGCAGAGGGATCATGGTGGAAGCTGGGATGCAGGTTGTGAGTTCTGGGGATCGTGCTGTAACTCATGGCTCCCAAATTTGCCAGCTCATCAGAATCACCAATGAGTTTCTATTTTTAAAGGCGATTCCCATGCCTTCGCTTAAGTCTACTGACTCAGGATGTTTGCATGAAATGTAGAGAATTTCCTTCAGCTCTGTAATTATTAAATGTGCATAAAATGCCAGACTGTACTGTGACTACGGGCAAGGATTATGCCTCTCAAATATTTTGAATGCCAAAGATGTGGTATTAAAGAATCTCAGTGTTGTAAGGGACTTTAGAGGTCATCTAGTTCAATCTCATCTCTGGTCTTGTCTGCCTCCCTGCCATAATTTCACTTAACATAAGCAATTTCCAGGTTACTATGGTTATCATAATCATTGTTTTTAATTGGCTTCATTATATTCTTTTAAATAACTCAGTGATGACAAAAACAGACTGTGAGCCAAACTGTCTGGACGTGTGTTCTAGCTCTACTACATAATTGCTCTGTAATTTTGGGCAAGTTATTTAACCTATGTGTCTGTTTTCCCCATTCTACAAAATAAAGATAATGATAGGATGTACCTCATAGGAGTGTATGAATTAAATGTATAACTATATGTAAAGCACTTAGCAAACAAAAAAGCACTAACTTCTGTAAATGTTCTAGATGTTACCAAGAATTAGATCATTTTTACTTAGTGTGCATATTGAAATTATGTAAGTGTCCCATTTTGGAAATTTCTGATTGCTTTTATGTTTTTTTCTAAAGTCTTATTATGATTGACAAAGTGCCTCATTTAAGATAATCTTCAGAATTCTTTTTCATAGTCTATTTACAGTTTTAAAAACTTTTAAATTGGCTTGTGCTCCACTTGAAGGTATTTGCACTGCATCTACACCTTTTGTATTATTGGGAGATGTTTTGGATTGTCTTCCTTTGGATCAATGTGACACAATATTCACTTTTGTGGAAAAAAATGTTGCTACTTGGAAATCAGTAAGTGCCTTGGTTTCTTTTCCTGCTGACATTTTTCTGTAGATCCAGAGTTCTAAAGGAAGATCTTTTGCTAATATTTCTAATATTGCTTATTACCAAAAAGTTTGTCACTGTGAAAGAATTATATACTGTGCTTTCTCAGTAGAACCAAATAAGAGCCATGCGTAGAGAAGAACTTCACATGCACATTTTGATTGAGTAGTAAAAATTAATTTAAAAATACATAATTTCACAAATTTAAACGAGCTACTTCATGTTTTCTTAAAAATCTGAAAATATTTCACTAAAAAACCACTGAAAACAAAAGTGGCTTGGTAGATTCTTGGTGTAAGTTAGTGTTCTTTAACATTTAACTTCCTATGACTTGTTGTCGAAGGGGTACAAGAATTCCTGAAAAATAATTTCTTTCTTGATTTCAGAATACATTTTATTCCGCTGGGAAAAACTATCTACTGCGTATGTGCAATGGTAAGTAATTCTATGATAAATTTTTTTTTTTTTTTTTTTTTTTTGACAGAGTGGACAGTGAGAGACAGAGAGAAAGGTCTTCCTTTGCCGTTGGTTCACCCTCCAATGGCCGCCGCGGTCGGTGCGCTGCGGCCGGCGCACCGCGCTGATCCGATGGCAGGAGCCAGAAGCCAGGTGCTTTTCCTGGTCTCCCATGGGGTGCAGGGCCCAAGCACCTGGGCCATCCTCCACTGCACTTCCTGGCCACAGCAGAGAGCTACCCTGGAAGAGGGGCAACCAGGACAGTATCCGGCGCCCCGACTGGGACTAGAACCCGGTGTGCCGGCGCCGCAAGGTGGAGGATTAGCCTAGTGAGCCGCAGCGCCGGCCTGATAAATAATTGTTTTTAAAAATGTACATGGGGGAGGCCAGCACTGTGGCATAGCGGGTAAAGTCACCACCTGCAGTGTGGACATCCCATAAGGGTGCCATTTCAAGTTCTGGCTGCTCCACTTCCCATCCAGCTCTCTGCTATGGCCTGGGAAAGCAGTAGAGAATGGCCCAAGTCCTTGGGCCCCTGCACCCACACAGAAGACCCTGAAGGAGCTCCTGGCTCCTGGCTTCGGATCAGCATAGCTCTGGCCAGTGCAGCCAACTGGGGAGTGAACCAGCGGATGGACGACCTCTCTCTCTCTGTCTCTCTGCCTTTGCTTCTTTCTGTGTGTAACTCTGATTTTCAAGTATATAAATAACTCTTTAAAAAAATGTATATATGGAGGCCAGTGTTGCAGCACAGTGGGTTAAGCCACAGCTTGCGATTCCAGCATCCTGTATCAAAGTGCCAATTTGGATCTTGGTTGTTCCACTTCTGAATCAGCTTCCTTAGTGAGAATGTGCCTGGAAAACCAGCAGAAGATGGCCTACATGCTTCGGGCCCTTGCCACCTATGTGGGAGACCAGGGTGGCTGTTGCAGCTATTTGGGAAACCAGCAGATTAAAGAAATGTTTCCGTGGCTGTCCCTCTCTCACTCTGCCTTTCAAAAAAATTTTTTTAAATGTGGCCAGAAGATTAGGCAAATTAGTACCAGTGATAACATTATAAAGATAAAACAACATTTTTTTAAATACCTGATTTATTAAGAATGATTATTTACTTTCCTAAGAAAAATTAAACTGTTCAAGTTCTGAGATATAAAGCTAATGAAGCCGGCGCCACGGTTCACTAGGCTAATCCTCCACCTTGCGGCGCCCGCACACCGGGTTCTAGTCCCGGTTGGGGCGCCGGATTCTGTCCTGGTTGCCCCTCTTCCAGGCCAGCTCTCTGCTGTGGCCCGGGAGTGCAGTGGAGGATGGCCCAAGTGCTTGGGCCCTGCATCCAATGGGAGACCAGGAGAAACACCTGGCTCTTGGCTTCGGATCAGCGCGGTGCGCCGGCCGCGGCGGCCATTGGAGGGTGAACCAACAGCAAAGGGAGACCTTTCTGTCTGTCTCTCTCACTGTCCACTCTGCCTGTCAAAAAAAAAAAAAAAAGAAAATTAGAAAAATTTAGTAAAGTTTTCTTATGCTGAACTTTTTTTTTTTTAAGATTTTATTTATTTGAAAATCAGAGTTAGAGTTCTTCCATCTGCTGGTTCACTCCCCAAGTGGCTACAACAGCCGTGGCTTGAGCCAGGCCGAAGCCATGGAACCAAAAGCTTCAAATAGGTTTCCCATGTCAGTGGCAGGGATCCAAGCCCTTCGGCCATCTTCTACTGCTTTTCCCAGGTCATTAGCAGGGAGCTGGGTTAGGAATGGAGCAGCCAAGACTTGAACCAGCACCAATATGGGATACCATCGAAACAGGCAGTGGCTTAACCTGCTACACTGCAACACTGGCCCCTGAATTTTTTATTTAAGGTGTTTTTTTGTTTGTTTATTTGAAAGGCAGAGTGACAGAGATGGAAAGAGACAGATAAAGAGATGTTCCATCTACTGGTTCACTCTCCATAAGGCCACTTCAGCCAGATCAGGGCCAACCCAAAACCAATAGCCAGAAACTCCATCTGCATCTCATACATAGGTGGCAGAGGCTAAGCTGCTTGACCCATCTTCCACTGCTTTCCCAAGCACATTAGAAAGGAGCCTGGGCAGCCAGCATTGTGGTATAGCAGGTAAAGCCACTGCCTGTGACGTTGACATCCCATGTGAGCACCAGTTCGTTTCTTAGCTGCTCCACTTTCAATCCAGCTCCCTGCTAATGGCCTGGGAAAAGCAGTAGAAGATGGCCCAAGCATTTGGGCCTCTGCACCTGGGAGATGGGATGAAGCTCCTGGCTTCAGCCTGACCATTGCCACCAACTGGGGAGTGAACCAGTGGTTGCAAGATCTCTCTCGGGCCGGCGCCTCGGCTCACTAGGCTAATCCTCTGCCTTGTGGCGCCGGCACACCGGGTTCTAATCCCGGTCGGGGCGCCGGATTCTGTCCTGGTTGCCCCTCTTCCAGGCCAGCTCTCTGCTGTGGCCAGGGAGTGCAGTGGAGGATGGCCCAGGTGCTTGGGCCCTGCACCCCATGGGAGACCAGGAAAAGCGCCTGGCTCCTGCCTTCAGATCAGCGCGGTGCGCCGGCCGCAGCGCGCCGGCCGCGGCAGCCATTGGAGAGTGAACCAACGGCAAAGGAAGACCTTTCTGTCTGTCTCTCTGTCCACTCTGCCTGTCCAAAAAAAAAAAAAAAAAAAGATTCTCTCTCTCTCTTTCACTCTGATTTTGAAAATACGTACATAAATCTTTAAGAAAAAAAAAGGAGCTGGATAAGAAATAACAAATGGAGCAACTGAGAGACTCAGACCTGTACTGTGATAAGGGGTGCAGATGTTGCAGGCAGCAGCTTAACCTTCCATGCCACAACACTGGCCCCATGCTGAAATTTTTTTATTACTGCTTTTTAGTACTTTTATGTGGCAAATACTCCTGACAAACTCGTTAAGAAGCTTAGATGTAGTTTAATAAATGTTGAATGATCTTTCCTCTGTAATGTTCGTTTCCATATATTGTTAGATCTCCTAAGAAGATTATCTAAATCGCAGAATACGGTCTTCTGTGGACGAATTCAACTCTTTTTGGCCAGGCTTTTTCCTCTATCTGAGAAATCAGGTAAGCTTTTATATACTAAATAAATTCTTTTCCACATTTCAATGGATTAAAATCTGTCATAATGAGGAAAATGGTCCTAAAAAGTTGAAAGTTATACAAAATAGCCACTTTATTTCCTTTTACTTATCCTAGAATATATTAGTTAATTCTGAAACAGAATCACTGATTCTTTAAGTTTAAAGTTCATTAATATGCAGCTGAGTTACTCTGAAATAATGTGGATGTGAACTATGAGGTCTGTTTTTCATTTCATAACATAAGCAAATTTTTCTGTTTTCATTTTTTCTCAATCACTGCTTTTTTAGCCATGTTTACCTCTTTTCATTTTTACAGATTTTTACTATTAAATGGAGTACTCCTAAGAAAAGCACATAATCAAATATGTACTGTAATTACTTAGCAGACACTTGTATAAACACTGTCTAGCCCCAGATATGGAATGTTGCCAATTTTCCAGAGCCTTCCTCTTCCCTAATTTGTTCAAATATGCCAGATTTTAATATCACTTTGCTTCACTTTTCCCTTTCTTAATATTGAGCTCATACTTCCATCTGTTGTGAAGATTAAAGTATGTGAAGAGCCATGTAGCAAGACCTATAGTATGTGAAGGAACTTTAAAACATTCATGCAATTAAACCAGACTGCATGTTTCTGTGAACTTTTTGAAGACCTGCCTTGTGTGTTAGTGGTAGTTTTGTTTTTGTTTTTTGTTTAATTTTTTTGACAGGCAGAGTGGACAGTGAGAGAGACAGAGAGAAAGATCTTCCTTTTGCCGTTGGTTCACCCTCCAATGGCTGCCTCGGCCGGCGCACCGCGCTGATCCGAAGCCAAGAGCCAGGTGTTTTTCCTGGTCTCCCATGCGGGTGCAGGGCCCAAGGACTTGGGCCATCCTCCACTGCACTCCCGGGCCACAGCAGAGAGGTGGACTGGAAGAGGGGCAACCGGGACTAGAACCCGGTGTGCCGGCGCCGCAGGCGGAGGATTAGCCTAGTGAGCCTCGGCGCCGGCCCTCCTTTATTCTTTTTTTTGTTTTGTTTTGTTTTGTTTTTTGTTTTTTTGACAGGCAGAGTGGACAGTGAGAGAGAGAGACAGAGAGAAAGGTCTTCCTTTGCCGTTGGTTCACCCTCCAATGGCCGCCACGGCCGGCGCGCTGCAGCCGGCGCACCACACTGATCCGATGGCAGGAGCCAGGTACTTCTCCTGGTCTCCCATGGAGTGCAGGGCCCAAGTACTTGGGCCATCCTCCACTGCACTCCCTGGCCACAGCAGAGAGCTGGCCTGGAAGAGGGGCAACCGGGACAGAATACGGTGCCCCGACCAGGACTAGAACCCGGTGTGCCAGCGCCGCAAGGTGGAGGATTAGCCTAGTGAGCCGCGGCGCCGGCCCCCTCCTTTATTCTTAAAGAATGTTTTCAGCAGATAAAAGCTTTTGTGTTGATACCATATAGAGGAGTTAATCTCACCATAAATAATCTTTACTTTCTCTCTTCCATTAATCTATAGACAAACCAAAAATCTAACTTCTTTAAAGATAATCTGATTTTTTTTCTGTGCTTTTAAGATTTTATTTAGTTTTCTTAAGTTTTATGGTGATGTATCTGTGCATGAATTTCTTTTTATCATGTGGGCATCCTCAAACTGGATTAGTATTTTTAATTCAGTTGGCAAAAAATTTAACCATTTTCTTTCCAAATATTATGTATGCCTTTTTTCCCTCTTTCCAGATCTGCAGTTAAACATCCAGTATACCATCTCAGTGTGTCCTCTGTTTCTTAATTTATTACTGTTTATGTACTTTAATTTGTGTGTCTCTCTTCCTTATATTTTGGATAATTTCCTAAGAACTACTTTCCAGTTCACTGCTTTTCTCTTCAACTGTGAATAATCTAATCTGCCTCTAAATGAGTTAGTAATTTGTTATGTCTTTCATTGTACTTTACTATGTTTCTTATTTCCAGGTTTTTTATTTGTCTGCTGTCAGTTTTTAGTTTCTTAATGCCTAATGATAGTTCAAGTTTATTTTTTTTAACATAGTCAGCTTTGTATTTTATTGCCTTTATCTGATAGTTCCAATATCTTATGTTTCTGTGGGTCTGCTTCTACTGTTTGAACTATTTCTCACTCATGATGTCTTGTTATTGTTGAATGTTATTTTGTTGTTGTTGTTGATTTTGTTTTTTAAAGATTTATTTTATTTATTTGAAAGGAAGAGTTACAGAGAGAAATAGAGACAGAGAGAACTTCCGTCCACTAGTTCACTTCCCCAAATGGCCACAACAGCCCTGGCTGGGCTATACTGAAGCCAGGAGCTTCCTTCAGGTCTCCTATGTGAGTGCAGGAGTCCAAGTACTTAGGCCATCTGGGGCTGCTTTCCCAGGCCCATTAGCAGGAACTGGTGCCCATATGGGATGCCAGTATCACAAGCAGTGGATTAACTGGTATACCCCAATGCTGGCCCCTGAATGTTATTCTTGAGGGAATGATTTTGAGGCCTAGGTAGGATAGGTGACCTTTTTCCAGATAATGTTTTCATTTGGTTCTGCCAGGCACTGGCAGGATGCAGGGCTAATACCAATTCAGGTTACCTTAATCCAGCCCCATTGAGAGGCTTATGATTCCCTAGATAGTAGAGACGACTTTCTACTAGTCCACAGTTTGGCTCATCTGTTCTTGAGGGTATATAGCGCCACAAGTTCCCAGCTTTGATAATGATTGGAAATTGGATTTGTCAAGATGATTGTATTTATCACCTTCTTTGGGTTCAGAGGTCTGCTTTTATCCTGGCAGCTTCAGAAAGCTACTAAAAGAGTAGCTCAGGTTTGCAGTTGATTCCTCCTGTGGCAGATGTCCTCAAGGCAAAAGCGGCTTTGAGTATTATTCATGCGTTATTTATCTTTCTGGACTTCCAAATTTTTGCTAGCTTTTCCTCATCATATTGTCAGTTCTTTCCTGTTTCTAAGAAAATCATTTTTCTGTTTCATTGCCTAAAACAATGCTCTGAACTTGATGTGTGTTCTATAATTATTTACATATTAAAGTAATTTATTCAAATTTTTCATTGTCCTTAAAGGGTGGAAAGGTTAAAGAATAACCTTCTGTTACTGGAAATCTCACTTTTTTTTAATGGCTTTTTTTAAGCAACTTTATTGAGATGTAAATTCACATACTATACAGTTCACTCATTTAAAGTGTGCAGTTAATTGTTTTTTAGTATATTCATGGGATCATGCAACCATGACCACAGTCTAATTTTAGGACATTTTTCCCTCTAAAAGAAACTCCATACCTGTTGGCTGTCATTGTCCCCTTATTCCAAATTTTTCTTTCTCGCTTCAGCCCTAACCAACCCTTTTTTTTTTTTTTAAAGATTTATTTATTTATTTGAAAGTCAGAGTTACAGAGAGGAGGAGAGGCAGAGAGAAAGAGAGAGGTCTTCCATCTTCTGGTTCACTCCCCAAATGGCCACAACAGCCGGAGCTGCGCCAATCTGAAGCCAGGAGCCTGGAGCTTCTTCCGGGTCTCCCACACGGGTGCAGGGGCCCAAGGACTTGGGCCATCTTGTACTGCTTTCCCAGGCCATAGCAGAGAGTTGGATCAGAAGTGGAGCAGCTGGGACTCGAACCAGCTCATGTAGGATGCTGGCACTGCAGGCGGCAGCTTTACCCACTGCCCACAGCTCTGGCCCCAACCTAATCAACCATTAATCTACTTGTTTTATATGTATAGATTTCCCTATTCTGGGCATTTAATCTTAATGGAATAATACAATATGTGGTTGTTTTGTGAATGACTTCTTTGACTTCGTGTGTTTTCAAGGATGATCTTTGTTGTAGCCTGTATGAGTATTTGATTAGTTTGGTATGACCAAATAATAGTCTCCTAAGTGAATATTACCACATTTCATTTATCTGTTCATTGGATGATAGACATTTGGATCATTTCAGCTCTGACCATTGTAAGTAATACTGCTGTGAACACTCATGTACAGGTTTTTGTATGCACAAGTATATTTTCATTTGTCTTAAGTATAATACTTAGAGTGGAATTGCTAGGATGTATGATAACTCTTAAGATTTTTTCTTGAAGCCGGCGCCGTGGCTCAATAGGCTAATCCTCCACCTTGCGGCGCTGGCACACCGGGTTCTAGTCCCGGTTGGGGCGCCGGATTCTGTCCCGGTTGCCCCTCTTCCAGGCCAGCTCTCTGCTATGGCCAGGGAGTGCAGTGGAGGATGGCCCAGGTGCTTGGGCCCTGCACCCCATGGGAGACCAGGAAAAGCACCTGGCTCCTGGCTCCTGCCATCGGATCAGCGCGGTGCGCCGGCTGCAGCGGCGGCCATTGGAGGGTGAACCAGCGGCAAAGGAAGACCTTTCTCTCTGTCTCTCTCTCTCACTGTCCACTCTGCCTGTCAAAAAAAAAAAAAAAAAAAAAAAAAGATTTTTTTCTTGAGTATATTTCTAACAGTTGAACTGTGGGATCATGTAGTAACACGGGAGGAACTACCAAACTTCCAAAGAAGCTACACTATTTTACAGTTCGCTCAGTAATTTGTGTGGGTTCTAGTTTCTCCACATTCCTGCTAAGGCTTGTTATTATCTTTTTTTATTATATTCATCCTAATGGGTATGAAGTAGTATCCCATTGTGGTTTTAATTTACATTTTCCTAGTGATTAGTGAAGTTGAGCATCGTTTCATATTCTTAATGGCCATTTGTATGTCTTTCTTGAGGGAATGTCTGTTGACATCCTTTGCTTACTTTTAGAATCAGGTTGTCTTTTCACTGTTCAGTTTAAGTGTATTTTATAAATTCTGGATGCTAGACTTACCAGTTTTAACATTTGCAAATATTTCCCCCATTCTGTGGATTGTCTTCATTTTCTTCACACTGTTGTTTGTAGCACCAGAAAAATTTTAGATTTTGATGAAATTGTGTCTAATTTTTCCTTTTGTTACTTATGTTTTTGATGCCTTATCTTAAAAACCACTGCCTAATCCAAGAAAGCTTCATTGTGTTTTCTTTTAAGAGTTTTACTTCTTAGATTTAGGTTTGTGGTCCTTATTTGTTTGAGAGGCAGAGAGACCAAGACCTCCCATTCACTGAATAACTCCTTAAATGGCCATTCTGGCAGGGGCTGAGCAGAGACCAAAGCCAGAAGCTGTGTCAAGATACCTACCTATTTGAGTGATAGGAACCCAAAAATTTGAGCCTTCCCTAGTCTGCATAAGCAGGAAGCTGGAATCAGGAGCCAGAGGCAGATATCAAACCCAGGCACTCCATTAGTAAGGGATGCAGACACCTTAACTACTAAGCCAAACGCCCATTCCCATGCTACATTTTGAGTTAATTTTGCATGTAGTTTGGGGTTGAAATCTAGTTTCATTCTTTGCATGTAGATACCCAGTTGTCCCAGCACTCTTTGATGAAGAACTGTTCTTTTCCCCTTGAATTGACATCTCACCTGTAATGCCTTCAGAATTTCACGATCATGGACATTTTAGGGCCTTAGAGTTGATGCTTCCCGCCGTAAGCCTTTTTTGTTTGTTTAATCATCACTAACTTGGTATTGTTCAATCTTAGTTTCAATGTTATTTCCTCATTTAGGCTGTCCTTGAGTATCTAAATGTAAACTCATTATCATTACCTGATTTTAAATCTCTTATCATTTCACACTGTCTGGTATTCACTGTGTTTGTGTTGTTCACTCTGTATTCTCTGTACCAAAATAGTGACAGGCATCTAACTGCCATTTAAACATGTCATGAGGGACTGGTGTTTGGCCTAGCAGTTAAGATACCAGTTAAGGTGTCCATGTCGATCATTTGGAGTACCTCAGGTGAATTCCTGGCTCTGGTTCCTAATTCCAGCTTTATCCTAAGGCATACTCTAGTGGGGTTCCTGCCACTTACATAGGAGTCCTGGTTGCATTCTCGGCTCCCAGCTTTGGTCCCCTGGCCTTCACAGGCATTTAGGGAGTGAACCAACAGAGGAGAGGGTGTTCTCACTTGCTCTCTAGTGCTGTCTGCCTCTCAGGTACATAAAATAAATAATGTGTGATGATGAGGTAGAAATGTGAAATGAAGTGATGTAACATTAATCTGTGATTTTTTTTTTTTCTTTCTTTCTGGAAGTTGCTGGGTTTTAACTCCTTGGCATTCTTTTGTTCTTCCTAGTTGTCTCCAACTCCAACTCTGTTTTTGAAACATTTTATAGTTCTTTTTCAATGTATTGCATTTTTTACTTGGCACGATATAGTGAAAATACATTTTTCTTATCTTTAGTACCTGTTGAAAGACTAACAGTATATGACTAAAGATAGCTTTATATATATTTATATATTAATGTTATATTTTTAAATTTTATTTTTAGGGGTAGGGGCTTGGTGTCACAGTTAAGCCCCTGCTTGGGATGCCCACATCCCATATTAGAATCCTTGGTTTGAGTCTTCGCTACTCTGCTTCCCATTTAGAGTTCCTGCTGATGCACACCCTGGAAGGAAGCATATGATACCTCGATTACTCAGATTCCTTCCACCCAGTTAGGAGACTGAGACTGAGTTAAGGGCTCTCAGTTTCGGCCTGGCTCAGCCCAGGTTGTTACAGACATTTAGAGAGTAAACCAGCAGATGGAAGATCGATCCCGCTCTCTCGCTTTCACTCTTCCTCTCTCCTTCTCCCCCTCCCTCCCCACTTCTCTCTCCCTCTTTCTTTGTCACTCTACCCTTCAGAAAGTTATTTTTTAATTGTAACCACTACTCTAACAAACTAGATTGGAATTTAGGTATATTTTCTTAAAGTCTTTTAACTTTTTTTTCTCCTTTTCTTCCCCCCTTAATACTTCGCAGATCTTTAACATTGACTGCAGTATACTCTAAGATCAAGAAAGAGCCATTTTATATGTAATTTATCCATTAAATGTTTTGTACACTGTGACTGAGATTTTGAACTCTCAATGAAAATCTAGAATTATAGCATGTGCTATATTAAGTAATAGAAAATAGCGGTATTTTATGTAGCCAGTATGGACTGGTTAGCCAAACAAGCTCGTTTACTCTCTCAATGTCTTGATGTAGCAGCCTAGCTTTTTTTTTTTTTTTTTTTTTTTTTTTAAAGAACTTTTGAAATAGTTTCAGACTTAAAGAAAAATTGTGAAGATAGGCCGGCGCCGTGGCTCACTAGGCTAATCCTCCGCCTAGCGGCGCCGGCACACCGGGTTCTAGTCCCGGTCAGGGCGCCGGATTCTGTCCCGGTTGCCCCTCTTCCAGGCCAGCCCTCTGCTGTGGCCAGGGAGTGCAGTGGAGGATGGCCCAGGTGCTTGGGCCCTGCACCCCATGGGAGACCAGGAAAAGCACCTGGCTTCTGGCTCCTGCCATCGGATCAGCGCGGTGCGCTGGCCGCAGCGCGCTGGCCGCGGCGGCCATTGGAGGGTGAACCAACGGCAAAAGGAAGACCTTTCTCTCTGTCTCTCTCTCTCACTGTCCACTCTGCCTGTCAAAAAAAAAAAAAAAAAATACCTTAGGCAAGCTCGCTTAATAATTAAAGAGATTTATTTTAGCTCACAATTCTGAAGGTTCAGAGTCCAAGTAACATGATGCAGGCTTTGACCCTTGCAGGGCTCCATGGTAGATTAAAGGACCTTGTGGTAAACCATGGAGGAGAGTAGTTGACCCCAAACTCAGGCTTTTACAACAACCAACTCCTGAGAATGCTTTCTGAGGGCACATTCCCAGTGAACTAAGGATCATCTAAAGATTCTACCACCTGGGGACCAGGCCTTTACCACAGGGACCTCTGGGAAATATTTAACATTCAAGGCATAGCAGAGGGGCACGCTTTTGTCACAGCAGTTAGGATGCTGCTTAGGACAGCTACATCCCATATCAGAATACCTGGGTTTCAGTCCTAGTTCCTCTTCTGATTCCAGCTTCCTAATACACACTCTGGGAGGCAGTCGATGGCTCCAGTACTTGGGTCCTTGCCACCTACGTGGGTGACCTAGATTGAGTTCCTAGCCCCTGGTTTGGGGCTGTTACAAACATATGGGAGTGAACCAGCAGATGGAATATCTGTCTCCATCCCTCTCACACTCCTGTCTTTCAGATAACTTTAAATAAATAGATAGTAAACAAACCATAGCAAAAAGTTCTTTGATTTTCCTGGAGTGAGAAGACTATCCAGGCAGATCTTTTATTTTCCCTACTGTTAGAATCATCCAGTTTTCTAACCCTAACCCTAACCCTAACCCTAGAATTTCTTTGTTTTGTTTTGTTTTTTAAAGAATGATAGTTGAAACCAAGATCTAGGCCTTAAAGTGCTCAGTGCTTCTAGAATATCACTGCTTCTGGGCTCCCTCAGTAAACAACTAGGAGGCCAGCGCCACGGCTCACTAGGCTAATCCTGCACCTGTGGCGCTGGCACACCGGGTTCTAGTCCTGGTTGGGTTGCCGGATTCTGTCCCTGTTGCTCCTCTTCCAGTCCGCCTCTCTGCTGTGGCCCGGGAGTGCAGTGGAAGATGGCCCAAGTCCTTGGGCCCTGCACCCACATGGGAGACCAGGAGGAAGCACCTGGCTCCTGGCTTCAGATCAGCGCAGCATGCGGGCCATAGTGGCCACTTGGGGGGTGAACCAATGGAAAAGGAAGACCTTTCTCTCTGTCTCTCTCTCTCACTGTCTAACTCTGCCTGTCCAAAAAAAAAAAAAAAAAAGTAAACAACTAGGAAAGATGTGTATATATATACTAACCCATGTACATATTTATATTTCCGTATCTATATAGATTTTATAAATGAACATCAGCAAAAACTGTAAGAGCATACAGATACCTCTGAGTTTTATCCAGCACTAGTAGACTTGTTTATTTATTTATTTATTTTTTTGACAGGCAGAGTTAGAGAGAAAGGTCTTCCTTTTCTGTTGCTTCACCCCCCAAAATGGCCGCAACAGCCAACGCGCTGCGCCTGTCCAAAGCCAGGAGCCAGGTACTTCTCCTGGTCTCCCATGTGGGTGCAGGGCCCAAGCACTTGGGCCATCCTCCACTGCCTTCCCAGGCCACAGCAGAGAGCTGGACTGGAAGAGGAGCAACCAGGACTAGAACCCAGGGTGCCAGCACCACAGGCAGAGGATTAGCCAAGTGAGCCATGGCGCCAGCCGACTTGCTTATTTTAATGTCTTTCAGTGACCTGGTTCTCATTAACTATATCTAACTTATTTTTTAAAACACCCTCTATTTTTGATAAGTATAATTTATATTTGTGCTTTAGCAAAATTTTTTTTTTTTTTTTTTTTTTTTTTTTTTTTTTTTTTTTGACAGGCAGAGTTGACAGAGAGAGAGAGAAAGGTCTTCCTTTTGCCATTGGTTCGCCCTCCAATGGCCGCCATGGCTAGCGTGCTGCGGCCGGTGCACCACGCTGAAACGAAGGCAGGAGCCAGGTACTTATCCTGGTCTCCCGTGGGGTGCAGGGCCCAAGCACTTGGGCCATCCTCCACTGCACTCCCGGGCCACAGCAGAGAGCTGGCCTGGAAGAGGGGCAACCGGGACAGAATCCGGCGCCCTGACCGGGACTAGAACCCGGTGTGCTGGCACCACAAGGTGGAGGATTCGCCTAGTAAGCCACGGCGCTGGCACTTTAGCAAATTTAAGTTACTCCTTACTGCATCATGTAGAATTGTTCTTAACTAATTATGAATAACAAGGATCAACTATTTGTTACATAATGTAAATAGAATACTGTGCATTCTAAAGGCATATTTAAGGCATATTTAAGACATAAAACTATTTGGAAATCAAGTGCAGAATGACTTCTTACTTGGTCTTTTGTTTAGTTACGGATTTAGACTTCATGTGTTTGGGTTATATGACACCAATTATATTCTTACATTTTAGGTGTCAATTTGCTTTGAAAATTTTTTTTTTTTTAACTAGGTCTTAACCTGCAGAGTCAGTTTAACCTGGAAAATGTCACTGTTTTCAATACCAATGAACAGGAAAGCACCCTGGGTCAGAAGGTGAGACTGAAAATGAAATCTTCCCACAAAACATGTTTGTACTTTTGTTACTAAGATAATTCATATGAATGGGCCTCTAAATCATAAAAAATTAAAAGATATTTGGCTGTTTCTTTTTACAGGCATAATATGTATTCCTTGTAAAAAAAAATATTTTGGAGTAGCTATACTGTTCTGTTTTGCTTTAGATTTTATTATGTATTTGAAAGAGAGAGAGAGAGAGAGGTCTTCCATCTGCTAATTTGCTTCCCAGATGGCCACAATGGCCAGGGTTGGGACAGGCCAAAGCCAGGAGCCAGGAGTTTCTTCTAGGTCTCCCACATGGATAGCAGGAGCCCAAGCACTTGGGCCATCCTCCACTGCTTTTCTCTGGCACATTAACAGGGAGTTGGATAGGGAGTGGAGCAGTCAGGATGCAAACCAGCACCCATATGAAATTATGGCATTCCAGGTAGCTTTACTCACTAAGCCACAATGCTGGCCCCAGAATAGCTATTCTTTTATTAAAGTGAATTAACAGAGTAGCTATGTTATGGGTATTATGGTGCAGTGGGTTAAGCTGCCACTTGCAATACCCACATCACATATTAGAGTGCTGATTCAAGTCCCAGCTCCTTTGCTTCAAATCCAGCTTCCTGCTGTGCATGTGAGAAAGCAGCAAATAATGATTCTAGTGCTTAACCCCCTGTAGCCATCCACATGGAAGACTTAGATGGAGTTCCAACTTTTGATTTGGGCCTGGCCCAACCCTGGCTGGCATTTGGGAAGTAAATCAGCAGATGTAAGATCTTTCTCTGTCTCTCCATTTCTCTGTTGCTCTGCCTTTCAAATAAATAAAATTTAATAGTAATAATCATAATGTAAATTATGGAGTAGCTGTCCTTTCTGACACTGACCATTTTCACATGCAAAACACATTTCTGTAAATATATATTACTGTAGCCATGTGTAGCATTATTTATCCAACCTTTTAGAACTTGTGTCTAGGTACAAATATAGGTCATTTTTTTTCCCCAAGTGAGATCATACAATACATAACTGCTCTTAAATGCATTTTCTTCTTTTAACTGATGTATTTCTGCAGTGGTGCATTAATCTTGGGTTTTTTAATGTCTCCTCTGTCTTTGAATAGATATATCACAGTCACCTCTCAATGGATATTTAGATATTCTCTAATCATGAAAGATTGTTAACATTACAGTGGGATAGTACTATATAAATCATTACTAAAATATGCTGTTATCGCCTTAGAGTACATTCCAACAAGTAGAATTGCTGGGTATGTGTGCATATTTCAGATTTTGATAGCTATTGCCTGGTTACTTTTCAAAATGATTGTACCTTAATACTACCACCAGTGACAGAGAATGCCCGTTTTCCTGCAGCCTCAAACCAACACTAGGAATTATCAAGTTTTTTTTAAATCTTGGCTTAGTTAGTGTAAATACTGGAAAAGTCTTATTTTAATTCACATTTCCTTGATTATTAATAGTGTTGAAGGACATTTTAGTAACTGGAATTTATTTTTTCTTTTGTGAATGTCCTATTTATATCACTTGCCCATTTTACTATTGGATTGCTTTTGTCATTGTATATATATTCAAAACAAATAGCTATGGAGCCTTTATTCCCAGAGAGAATCCATTGACCATGTTTTGAGAAATATTTGTTTGAAACTTTCCACTGTATCTTTGTGACATGTATTATTTCATTGTCATATGGCTCATGAGTTCTTGGATCCTTGTCACAGAACTCTTATTGCCTTAAAGGTTAACTATAGGTAGTTACTATGACTGGACGTCTTTGAAAATAGTTGCTTAGCAGTGTGCAAATGACATTATTTTAGTGTTCATCTTCTGCTTCATGACTGCTTCATAACTAGCTGTATATTTTTTTCAATTTAGCACACAGAGGATAGAGAAGAAGGAATGGATGTAGAAGAAGGTGAAATGGGAGATGATGAAGCTCCAACAACTTGGTAAATTCTTAGAGCCTACAATTTTTTGATTTAGAAAATAGTTCTTTAATGAGTCATCAGGTTCTGAAGTAAGGATATAGACAAGGAAGAGGGAATCATGCTTATAGCTTTCTTTCATTTGTAACTTTGGTGTATAGTAAATGATAAATTCCAAATCACTGATGGTGCAGACATTTCATTGTTTATATAGTTTAACTTTTGCATAATCCCAGTGTTTGAAAAAGCCAACTACAGGCCATCTTTTGAGCTCCTCCCTTCTCCCTTTCATTAAACTTGTGGACTTCTTACCTGTGGGTATTAGACTAACTTTTAATGAAGTAACAATAATAAGAAACCTCCTTTCCATTTCCTCTTCCCTCTTGCTCTTATTACTGTTTCTGATCTCATCTTCTTTAGCCTTGTGCTTTTTCTCCAAATAATTTCCTCTGTGCTAGTTAAAAGCAATAAGGAAGAAAAAAGGAAGGTATAAAGGTATACTTTTTTTCACTAGTACTCTTGCAAATGTTTTGAGGGGATGAAAGTTATCATTGGTTGTTGCTGAAAGAATTTCCATTACTCTCTTCCAGAAGATAAGAGCAGATTCCTTTATGTGCATAGGGAGATATATTCCTAGCATCTCAGATTTCAAATTCAAACACATATCCCCAAAAGAAAGAAAAGAAATTGTATGTCTCCAGGTTTAGTTCTAGTATTTCCCAGTGATAGGATTGAACAAGCTCTAATCTCCGTACAACTCAATTTTACCATCTTTAAAATGTGGTAATGTCACCTATTCATTATAACTCTTTAAAGGTTAAATAAGATGATCAAAAATGATCTAATAAGGCACTTGTTATTACTGTAGTTGTTGGTTTTATATGTAATAGTAAACACTTAGTGTTTATTCAGTGTCAGTAGATAACTATTATTAACTATGGTTAGTATGCTTTTAGCAACCTATTCATAGACATGAATAAAACGTAGCAAAAGCTTGACTTCAGTCACTTAAAAGTTGTTATTCATTATTTATTTGTAGCAAGATGAACATGCTTCAGGTAGTAGCTGTTACTCCAGCAAAGTTAGCATACTTTATTAAGCTTTCTAAATTATTTATCTGACATTACACATAATTGACTGCCATTGCAATCTAGGTGGATACTACATGATCGCAAGTCACTTTTGAAAAATAAAACACACAGATCTTAGTGGCAACAGTTTCATTGCAGATTAGGAAATTTTTCAATTACTTCCAAGATCACAGTTTTGTTGCAGGTGGTTGAAGTTCTCAAAAGTGGAAATGTGCAATACCCAATAGGTTGCTCTGCTATAGACGTGTATTTTTTCTTGAATTTATACGCCAATTGTTATAAATTTTTAAAAATTATTCTTCAAAAAGATTTAGGATATTGAATTGTAGTTTGATCTTTTTAAAAAGATTTGTTTATTATTTATTTATTTGAAAGATGGAGTTACAGAGGTATGGGGGGTTTTCCATGCGCTGGTTCACTCCACAAATGCCCACGACGCCGGAGCATGGAGCTTGACGCTTCCTCCACATCTCCCACATGGGTGCAAGGGATCCAAGGACTTGGACCATCTTTCATTGCTTTCCCAGGCACATTAGCAGGGAGCTGGATCAGAAGTGGAACGGCCAGGACTCAACCCAGCACCCATATGGAATGCTGGCACTGCAGGCAGTGGCTTTACCCACTAACACCGGCCCCTCTAATTTTCACTTTAAAGCTCTGAATATTTTGTTGTTTTCTTTGAAGTGACATGCCCACTTCATTTTTAATAAAATGTTGGCTAATTGCCTATCTAAAGTCATGATTTGTCAGTAAGAATGATTTTCTGTTAACGGAATTAACTAGTCCAGTTTGCAGTACAGACATTTGCACAAGTGCTTAAGCAAGACAATTTTCATTCTCTGCTTTGCAGCAGAAGTGTTTATCACTTCAGCTCAGTCCATATTTTAGAATCTCAAAAGAAATGTATTTGAAGGACTGGCATTTTGGCACATTGAAACTGCAGCTTGTGATTCTGGCACCCCATATGCCACCACACCAGCCCCCTTTGTTTGTGATCTTAATATGAATTAGATTGTTAGATGGAGATTTTTTTTTTATCAAATATGCTTTCATATGTTTTACTGAAATACTTTTCCTCGGGCTGGCATTGTGGCACAATAGAGTAAACTGCTGGTTTTAACACCATATTAGAATACCAGTTCAAGTCCTGGCTATTCCACTTCCAATTGCACACTCTGCTGGTATTCCTGGAAAAGCAGTGGAGGGAGAATGGCTCAAGTAGTTGGGCTCCTGTCACTCTTGAGGGAGACTCAGATGGAATTCCAGGCTCCTGGCTTCACCATTGCAGCCATTTTGGGAGTGAACCAACACATGGAAGGTCTTTCTCTATCACTCTGGCTTTCAAATAATTAAATAGATAAATCTTTAAAAAAAATACTTCATTGGGCCAGTGTTATAGCATAGCTGGTAAAGCCGCCACCTGTTGCACTGGCATCCCACATGAGCGTGGGTTCATGTCCAGGCTGCTTCACTTTTGATCCCTTCTGGTGGCCTGGGAGGGCAACAGAAGGTGAAATGAATAAACTTTAAAAAAAAAAAAAAAAGAAAACTCTTCTTTTTTTCTATCTGAAATCACATCTTTAAAAAATTTTGTAAAAACTATATTTTCAACTAGTTATTTTATACTATTTTAAATCCAAGGAAACTAAGGTAATTTTCTTTTATTTATTTATTTATTTGAAAGTCAGTTACACAGAGAGAGGAGAGGCAAAGAGAGAGAGGTCTTCCATCCAATGTTTCACTCCCCAGTTGGCTGCAACAGCCGAAGCCGATCTGAAGCCAGGAGCCAGGAGCTTCTTCCAGGTCTCCCATGCAGGGAGCTGGTGGGTAAAGCCACCACCTGCGATGCCAGCATCCCATATAGGCACCGGTTCAAGTCTTGGCTGTTTCCACTTCCAATCTAGCTTTCTACTATAGCCTGGTAAAGCAGTAGAAAATGGCCCAAGTCCTTGGGCCTCTGCACCTGCATGGGAGACCCTGAAGAAGTTCCTGGCTTCTGGCTTCAGATCACCCCAGCACTGGCCATTGCAGCCATTTGGAGAGTGAACCAGCAGATAACAGAAACCTCTCTCTCTCCCCTTTCTCTCTCTCCCCCCTCCCCCTCTCCGTCCCTCTTCTCCCACCCTCTCCCTCTGCCTCTCTCTCTAACTCTGCGTTTCAAATAAATAAATAAATCTTTTTTTAAAAAAGAAGTAGAAAAATCTAAAAATAGCTATCGCTTGGGTTAGAAAAAGTCTAAACTATTTGTTTTGACATTAAAAAATAAAGCTAATAAAGTCACTACAGAATGGGGTTTTTTTGTGTGAAACTAACTTGATAAGTAATATATTTGTCTCATACTAGAGTTTCTTACCCTGGTGTACTAGTTATAATTCCTGGGACTTTTTTTTTTTTTTTAAGAATTATTTAATTGAAAGGCAGAGTGTGAGAAAGCAAAGGAGAGCAAGAGACACAGAGATCTACCATTGGCTGATTCACTCCCAAATGGCCACAACAGCTGGAGCTCAGCCAAGCCAAAGCCAGGAACCTGAAACTACACCCCAGTCTCCCACATGGGTGGCAGGAGCTCAAGTACTTGGGCAATCTTCCATTCCTTTCCCAGGCATCACAGCAGCACGACAAAGCTGGCCCCAATTCCTGGGGCTTTTAACATATTATCAGATTAACCTGATTTGAAATAACATTGAAGTTATTTCTTCTCATGTCAAAATCTGGAGACAAGCAGTCCAGGACTGGAGGAGCTAATCTCCCACTCAGTGAGATTTTCTAGGCACCCAAGTTCTTTTCTTTCTTTCTTTCTTTCTTTTTTTTTTAATTAGTTAATTAATTTATTTATTTGAAAGACAATGGCGGGGGGGGGGCAGATCTTCCATTTGCTGATTCACTCCCCAGATAGCCGAAGTGCTTAGAGCTGGGCCAGGCTAAAGCCAAGAGTCTGGAATTCTATTCAGGAGTCTCCCATGTGGGTGGCAGGAGTCCAAGTACTCTGACCATCTTCTGCTGCTTTCCCAGGCATAATAGCAGAGAAACTGGATCAGAGGAGCAGCTGGGATTCAAACCAGGGCTCAAATAGGATGCCAGCATCCCAGATGGTGATTAATCTGCACTACAGTGTCAGCCCCTCCTAAATTTTTGTTCCATTGTACCTCATTGTTTGCCATTTTACTGTGCTGCAAGAAGGCTCACTCTCCTGTCTGCATGCTGGTCAGCAGGAACAGAAAAGGGCAAGTGGTAAAACATGGCCCAAAAGTTGCACATATGACTTCTACTCCCAAGCTGAATGGTCAGAATTGAATCACGTGGCCGTATCTGGCAGCAGTAGAAGTTGGGAGACAGTCTTTAATTTTTTTAAAGATTTATTTATTTATTTGAAAGTCAGAGTTAGAGAGGAGGAGAGGCAGAGAGAGAGGTCCTCCATCCGTTGGTTCACTCTCCAAATGGCCGGAGCTGTGCCCATCTAAAGCCAGGAGCCAGAAGCTTCTTCCAGGTCTCCCATGCCCATGGAGTTGGGCCATCTTCTACTGCTTTCCCAGGCTATAGCCGAGAGCTGGATCGGAAGTGGAGCAGCCAGGACTCGAACCATTGCCCATATGGGATGCTGGCACTGCAGGCGGCAGGCTTTACCTGCTACACTACAGTGCTGGCCCCGACAGTCTTTAATTCTTCATAACCATGTGTGCAACCAGAATTCAGGGACTCCATGAGTATACTTAAAAAGCCTCTATTGGAATCTATGAGTCATCTGAAATGGCATGTAAAATTTTATATAATTACTTGTGACTGTGCGCTTTTTCTAGGGAAAGAAGCCATTGCTCTCATGATTCACTGAAAAGAGTTTGTGACCCAAGAAAGTTAAGACCTATTTAGAGGGGCCGGCGCCATGGCTCACTTGGTTAATCATCCGCCTACAGCGCCAGCATCCATATGGGCTCCGGGTTCTAGTTCCGGTTGCTCTTCTTCCAGTCTGGCTCTCTGCTGTGGCCCAGGAGGGCAGTGCAGGATGGCCCAAGTGCTTGGGCCCCTGTACCTACATGGGAGACCAGGAAGAAGCACCTGGCTCCTGGCTTCGGATCAGTGCAGCTCTGGCCATTGCGGCCATCTAGGGAGTAAACCAACAAAAGGAAGACCTTTCTCTATGTCTCTCTCACTGTCTATAACTTTACCTGTCAAATAAATTTTAAAAAATAAGAATATTTGATATTTGTTAAACTATTTGACATCTTTAATGTAACTTTTATTTTATTAGCTCCATCCCAATTGATTACAACCTGTATCGAAAATTCTGGTCACTTCAGGATTACTTCAGGAACCCCGTGCAATGCTATGAGAAGATTTCATGGAAAACTTTTCTTAAGGTGAGTTGCCAATCACAGACTATCAGAAACCCATATAGATAGCTAATGGCAGACCAAAAACTAAATTCTTGTCCACCTTAAATTTTTATATCTATTTTATAATATACAAAGCTAAATTGTAAATTAATTTTAAACCAGTAATTTTATGGAGTATTTTCTAAGTAACTTGGGGATTTAAAAATTGATGATTATAGCCCTTTTTAATATTATAGTGATTGTTGTCAACATAAATTGGTGATTTTTTTTTTGCACAATACATTCTCTATTTGCACAAAATTATTTTTGTTCTCCCATTAAAACAGGGGTCTGCAAACTGGCCTTGCCAAATCCAAACCTGCTGCTTTGTAAACTTTATAAAAAAAGGTTTATTAGAATACATCCATGACCATTCATTTAATCTTCAGCTGTGTTCCATCCAAATGACATAGTTGAATAGTTGAAGTTGAGACTATATGGGCCAAAGAGTCTAAAATACTTATATTTTACAAAAAGTTTGTCAGCTCCTGTTTTAGAACAGTCCTCTATGTTCATTTTCTTGAGGCAATTGTTATCTTTTTCATCATAATTAAAATCCCAGAAAAACAGATGGCTCGTAAAGTGTGGGCTGCTATTGTGGTGCAGTGGGTTAAGCTTCCATACACAACACCAGCATCCCATATGAGCTTCCAGCTGTTCCACTTCTAACCCAGCTCCTTGCTAATAGCCTGGGAAAGCAGTGGAAGATGGCCCAGTCCTTGAACCCCTGCCACTCACATGGGAGACCTGCATGAAGTTCCAGACTCCCGGCTTTGACTTGACCAGGCCCCGTTGTTGTGGCTATTTGGAGAGTGAACCAGCAGATAGAAGATCGATCTCTCTCTTTGCTTCTCTCTGTAACTCTGCCTTTCAAAAAACTATTTTTCAAATGTAACATAATGTTTATTATGTTTTCTAAGTTGAAATTTTTAACAATTTTTATTAAGAAAAAGAGGGGAAAAGAGATTGAACTCCCATATGCTGGTTCAGCCCCAAACACCTGCAATGGCAGGCAGGTAGAGGTCCAGGACACAGCTGAGAGCCAGGAACTCATACCTTCACATCTGTGGACTCAACCAACTGCGCTAGACACATACTGCGGGGGAAGGAACTGAATGTGTATTGAATAGGTATAGACTTTTTTCTTGTTGTTACTCCCTTAAAATACAGTGTAACTATTTATGTAGCATTTACGTTGTATTAGGCACTATATAAGTTATCTAAAGGTGAATTAAAGTTTATAGGAGCATGTGTATAGGTTACATTCAAGAATGATGCTATTTACATGAGGTACTTGAAATTCACAGATTTGGTATCTGGGTGGCATTTCAGAATCCATCCCCAGCAGATACCAAGGAACAGCTCTATTCTCAAACATTCCATTCTCTGTCTCCTTACAAACTGTATAAGAAAGCATGTTTCCAGCCGGCGCCACGGCTCAATAGGCTAATCCTCTGCCTGCAGCGCTGGCACACGGGGTTCTAGTCCCGGTCGGGCGCCGGATTCTGTCCCGGTTGCCCCTCTTCCAGGCCAGCTCTCTGCTATGGCCCGGGAGTGCAGTGGAGGATGGCCCAAGTGCCTGGGCCCTGCACTCCATGGGAGACCAGGAGAAGCACCTGGCTCCTGCCTTCGGATCAGCACCATGCGCTGGCCGCAGCACGCCAGCCGCGGCGGCCATTGGAGGGTGAGCCAATGGAAAAGGAAGACCTTTCTCTCTGTCTCTCTCTCTTTCACTGTCCACTCTGCCTGTAAAAAAAAAAAAAAAAAAAAAAAGGCGTGTTCCCTCTGGAGTAGACTGTTTAATACTACTTTTACAGTACGATAAAAACGATAAAGCTATCATACTAAATAGTGGTTACTACTTTTTTTGCTATGATGATTCTGTTTAATATGCCCACAATATACTCTTGATTCATTGAGAGTAAATTCTAGGTATTTTCAGAAAAGTACTAAACAAATTTGTGGTACCAGTACTAAATAGAACTAACTGATGTTTTTACTTGGCAGTATTCTGAAGAAGTTTATGCAGTTTTTAAAAGTTATAAATTAGATGATACTCAGGCCTCAAGGAAAAAGATGGAAGAATTGAAAACAGGAGGAGAACATGTATATTTTGCAAAATTTTAACAAGTGAAAGGTATAAATATTTCTTTTTACTAAGCATAATAAGAAATTATCTCCTTTTTTCCATTTTGATCGCCGTTTCAATATAAGGGCAATAGAATGTTTCTTTTAATTGGAACTGATAATGTTTAGTTTGCGAATCCCATTTCTTCCTTGCACAAGTAGGACTAATATGATTTCAAAGGTGAAAGAGGTTTTACAGTGAATCTGTTTTACAGACATACTTTAGAATACCTGTAGTTTAATTTCAAGTGTGTATATATTTTAAACTTGATTAGGATTCAGTGTGTGCTTGTGAAAATATTTGTGACTAATTTATCATTTTAGGTACAGATAAGGATTTTGAAAGTTCCCTGTTAATCTTATTTATACATTGTAATAAGTTTATTTTGTTCAGATTTAAAGGGTTTTATAAGTTTTCTGGTCAAGATGACATACTGAGTTTGTTTCAACTCACTTCCTTTGCTCCAAATACATAGCCATGACAGGGAAAATATAAAAAAGAAAACCAAAAAAAGCAAAGCCTGGGCTTCCAGAAACAAGATAAATGTCTTCATGGACCTGAAATGTCAAGTAGTAATTGAAACGAAGCTGTGGCCTGTTGAACTCTTTCCAGAGTAGGTGAAGGCACCAAGAGTTTGGGCTACAAATAATGGAAATCAGATGTACTCCATGTGGAACAAGGGCCAGAGCCAGATTCACTGCTTGAAACCAGGGACTGGGTGAACTTTACCCACTTAACTAAAAATACTGCCAGTCTTCTTCCAGTGGCTGTGGTTTTAATAAGAAGACCGGAGGTTAATGAAGACCCAGCTTTATGTCCATCTGCTTGTTCAGTTGTCTAGATTGTAGTCTCCTCTGTATGCTCATGAAAGAGACGCTCCAGCAAGTCATCATAGATTTTTCTAGACTTGAGCCTAGGGCCCTGGTGAAAGAAATTGCAAAAACTGCTAGATAGGGAAGGATGTACAGAGGAAAAGGAGGAAAGTAAGCAAACATCCCAAAAGAAAAGCCTCCTGCTCAAAACTCTCTGGTAAATAAAGTTCAAAAATCCATAAAGAAATCCAGTGAAGGATCTCAGCAAAATCGGCTATTGGGATATAGTGTATCTATTCCTGGTGAACTATACAGCCTGATCAAGACTTTGTGTATGTTGTGGGTACTCAGAGCTAATTGAGATAGCACCCATTGAAAAAGAGCAAGAAATCATACAGCAAACAGGCAGAAATGAAATAGCCTTTTAATTGAGAGTCCTGGAAATCATTGAAACCAAAGCATAACACCCAGAATTAAACTATAGATTGGACATAGATGAGGAAAACTACTGAATTGAAGATAGTGATAATAACATCATTCAGCATGTATCTCATAGAAATAGTTTCATGTTTTAGGTGAAAAAGCAGTTTAAAAGCTGTGGTGCATTTCTCTAGTAAGTTTTCTGAAGAACAAAATTGAGGGAATGGTATAGAAACTGCACAGAAAGTAATTCAAGGAAATATCAGTCCCTCAGATTAAAAGTGTGCTCCAGCTAATCAGGAGTAATAAAGAAGTTAACACACATTTCAGTACTTCATGCTGTAGCTCTGGGGATACAGAGGAAGAAGGAAAACCTTAGTCACCAAAGGTAAACAGAGACACATCCTGGGAAGGAACAGCAGTTTGACTGTTGGCAGATTTCTAACAGATAACAGCCATCAATACCAGAAGACTGCAGAGAAATGAAGTGCTGAAGAAAAATAACTATCAGTATAGAATTTTTTACCCAGCTAAGTGCATTCAAGACTCTGGATGTAAGAAGGACATTTATATACAAAGGCTGGGGGCCGGCGCCACGGCTCACTAGGCTAATCCTCCGCCTAGTGGCGCCGGCACACCGGGTTCTAGTCCCGGTCGGGGCGCCGGATTCTGTCCCGGTTGCCCCTCTTCCAGGCCAGCTCTCTGCTGTGGCCAGGGAGTGCAGTGGAGGATGGCCCAGGTGCTTGGGCCCTGCACCCCATGGGAGACCAGGAAAAGCACCTGGCTCCTGGCTCCTGCCATCGGATCAGCGCGGTGCGCCGGCCGCAGCGCACCAGCCGCGGCGGCCATTGGAGGGTGAACCAACGGCAAAAGGAAGACCTTTCTCTCTGTCTCTCTCTCTCACTGTCCACTCTGCCTGTAAAAAAAAAAAAAAAAAAAAGGCTGGGAAAAATTCTGAAAAAACTACTAATGGATGTTCTTCAAGAGGAAGGAAATTGAATCCATAGGAAAGGAGTGAGATACAGAAAGCAGTGGTGAGCATAAAAATTGAAAATTGTGATAATAAATTTGCTATTATAACAGCAAAATCTTAACTGATTTTTAGAATTAATGTGAAACAGCTAGATGACAATATGGGGAGGGAAAGCAGAGATTTAATGAATAATTTAAACTCACTGCATTCTATGTGATCTTCAAGGAAGACAGGAGTCTGAATAACTTGAGACTTTTATGTAGGTTAAATGGGTAACCACTAAAGAAAACTAACCTGTAATTCTCAGCAGAGACTAAAAGGGTGGGGTTTGGGGGGGATCCAGAGTGCTTTCTAAATCTAATATCAGCAAGAGGGGAAGAAAAGGACTAGAAAGTAAGGTAGAATTAGTTTCAAACATGTCAGTAATATCACCTACGACTGATTTAATTCATGTAATAAAAGAGATCATCAGATTGGATCTTTAAAACTTCAGATTATTTATATTATTGGTTGAAGAAAAAATCCAAAATTTTACCCTATGTAGAAGATAGGAAGAAGGGCCAGCACTGTGGCATAACAGTAAGGCCGCTGCCGCAGTGCCAGCATCCCATAGGGCACTGGTTCAAGACTTGGCTGTTCCACTTCTGAGCCAGCTCCCTGCTGTGGTCTGGGAAAGCAATGGAAGATGGCCCAAGTCTTTGGGCCCCTGCACCCATGGAAGACCCGGAGGAAGCTCCTGGCTCCTGGCTTCAGATCGGCACAGCTGTGGCCGTTGCGGCCATTTGGGGCATGAACCAGTGGGTAGAAGACCTCTTCCCTCCACCCCTGTCTCTCTCTGTCTCTTTCTGCCTCTGCCCCTGCCCCTCTAACTCTGCCTTTCAAATAAATAAATATTTCAAAAAAGGGGGGGGGAAGAAAATATCAAAGCTGAAGTGTCAGTTTAAATATGTCATCAGGGTAGAAAAATTATAAAACAAAACACTCAGTAATAGTTACATACATGAGTTATAGGATGCATTTCAGGACATGACAAGTATTCTAAATTCTGGGTGTCTTAAAAGTTTTTTTGTTTTTTTGTTTTTGTGTTTTTGTTTTTGTTTGTTTTGTACAGAGAACATTCTAAAGGATGTTTTAATAATGGGTAACAGGATTAAACATTTTCAGAGATCTCCACATTGGATTGTAACATTAATGCTGCTATATCATTCTTCATTTATTTTATCAGACATGTCTTTGTAATAGTTTCTCCTAGCCAAAATCCTGTGAGCTTTCACTAGCAGTTGGAGAGCATGAATTTTTGCAGTTAGTGCTGGAATTCATTAATTAGTGACATGGAGGACATTAAAACAGCTTGGAGAAACATAAAACTTACAATATGAAAAAGAAAAAAGCTCAGAATTGTACTAAAGAGGTCGTGAGGCATGTAGTGTTTTGCATATTCAGTTCATTCTTTGTTGCCTCTTAAGCAACAACTTTTTAAGTTTAGAACCTTTCTGTATATTTTTCATATTTCTAAGTATTTTCAGTGTTTGCAATTATATCCAAGTGAAAATAATTAGAATGCATTACCTACCGCATGAAAAAACATGCTGCATTTATGAACTGTGCTGCTCCTCTGGAAGAAGCCACCAGCATCTCCATACCTTAAAATACCTTGTATGGTCTTTTAAATCTCAGGGCTCCCAAAACGGCCATTCTACCAAACTACATGCCAGTTTTAGTCTGATGTTACTTTTAACTTTCTTCTGATGAAGTAATGGGAAAGCTGATTATTTGCAGAGACATAAGTGCTTTATTTCTTGCTGGTAAGAGCTTATTAAAGTGAAATCTAGATGATTATTTGGAGCAAAATTTTTTTTAAATATTACTTATTTGAGAGACAAATGGAGCTCCCTTTGGTTTACTCCCCAGATGCCCACACTGGCTGGGGCTGGGCTCAGCCAAATCTGGAAACTCAGTCTAGGTTTTCCATATGGGTGGCAGGAACCCAGTTACTTGAGCCATGACTGTTGCCTCAGTGCTTGCATTAGTAGGAAGCTAGAGTCAGGAGCCATAGCCAGGTAGGGAACCTAGATACTCCAACGTGGGATGCCCGTGTCTTAACCACTAGGCTAAATGCCTGTCATTCATTGGTCTCACTGTAGACAACCTATGATCCTGTCTAATGAGAATGTTAAGATCCAGAAGCATTATGTTTTGCTATATAAATATTATCAAATTTTTCCTTAGGGAAGGCCACGAGATGACAAATGGCAAGTATGATCCAACTTTATAGTTAAGAGACTAGCCAGTTGCGCAACTGGGTAGACATGGTTTTACAAATAAAATCAGTGTGTTTTGAAGTTACCGTACCTTCTTCTTAAAGACATTTCCCTGGAAACAAAGTGGCACTGTAATTTTCAAGGACTGTTGTTTTGTGCTGCCTGGGGTATGATAGCAAACTCTGTCCATAACAATACAGTTCCCTGGCTAGCATACCAGTAACTGATAATCCAGGGATATCAGTCACCAACTGTAGTGCTGAGACATTGTATACACAGGAGAAAAGAGGGAGATAGAGCGGTCTTCCATCGGATGGGTCAATCCCCAATTGGTCGCAATGGCCAGAGCTGTGCCGATCCGAAGTCAGGAGCTTCTTCGGATCTCCACTGGGGTGCAGGGGCCCAAAGACTTGGGCCATCTTCTGCAGCTTTTCCAGGCCATAGCAGAGAGCTGGATTGGAAGTGGCTGAGTCTTGAGCCAGTGCCCATGTGGGATGCCAGCTTCAGGCCAGGGCATTAACCAGCTATGCCAC